TTTGGTAAGGACTCTCCGAGGGAAATTGCCTGGAAACCCCCTCATTCTGCCCAACCTCCACACTGAGGACTTCCTCGAAAACTCCAGTCTCGGAGTACCTCCCCTTTTTCTTTTTTTGTCCTTCATGCGTTTTTCATCTCCTCCTTTCAACTTAAAAACAGGTCCTTGATGAGTAACTACCAATTTGGAGGCGGGTGATATTTAGAATGAACGAGAAGTTTGAAAAAGGATAGACATTAGCTGTGACGGAATTGCCGTTCTCTTTTGTTGGACAGGAAGGAGTTGATAGAAAGGTTGTCTTTAATAGTCCTTATGCTTGCTAATTATCACCTCAAAGGAGTTTTCCGTAGGGATGTGGGAGTCTGTCACATAGATGTTGTGTTTGGACTGATTACTGATCTGAGGTGCTGCTGCTACATACACGCTAGACTGTGAACAAAGATGTTAACAAAACATTTAATGGCTGTAACCAAGTTTCAATATTAATAGAGCTCATAAATAGGTATGTGCTCCATAAATAATTTCATTAATGTTCAAGTGGAAATTTTGTAACCGACTAGTCTAACAAACCCCTCGAAAGAAAGTCAAGAAATGTACTGCTTAATCTATGATTCAAACAATCGAATCCCATTCTGAATGCAAACGCAATTACAAACTCAGTAGCTTATTATAAACAAATTCCTCAATTAAACTTTAGCTAACCCAAGTCAGCACGTCAAGGTATTGTTGTTGCGCGTCCGGGTTTGAACTCGATTCTCGTGTATGAAAATTACCTGTATTACATGGCAGGTGGTAAAATCGCAAGAAAAACTTGACAGCAGCTATATGTTATTTTAGGGTATTCATCAAGATGTTGATATATAAGATCTGTTGTTGCTGAGTAAGTTTCATTCATGATGTTTCCCTTTTAAGCCGGTATTAATTTTGACTGGTTTTACTATAACAAGCCTATAAACAAGCTTAATTATTATGTTAGTTTTTTGTCAACTAGCAGTAAAAGTATTGTTTAGTCATCTAGTCTCGCATTTCCTTAGTTATAAGAGTCATTCAATTGTGAATCAGACTACGGTGTTCACGCAGTCTGTTTGTTTTTGCATGTAGCCCCTGAAGCCTGTACTGCCTATCTTGTATATTCTGCATTTTTTACTGAGTGCTTCATTAGCTAATGTTTTGAGCCGTTTGTTGCGGACACCGTTGAACTTCATACATGGGAAGCGCCCTGTTCTTCTCCTGGAAGACTACTATGTGTCTAGGGAAGTCTAAGCTAAGCTCATCTGGTCAGTAACAGGAGCGGTAGCCCTGGCGACCTCGGCTGGCCAAGCTCTGACGTCAAAGGCTTGACACAGTCAATTGGCCCGAGGGCGCGTGGAAGGCTATTTTTAGCCCCTGACTGATAAAGGGGGAGTAATCTGATTTTCATGTAAGCCGAACGCTTCCGCCAGGCATCTAGCAAAGAAACCGGATCATTAGCATGTTGGTAAACTTTAGTCGATGCTGGGAGGGCGAGCCGGGTGACGGTAGAGGCTGAGTGACTTGTGGGTTAATGTGTTCTCAGCAGTGAGGGGCCCCCACATAGTGCTATCCTACCTCACCCTTGAGACCCCTGCAGACTCAAGGACACCATGATGACTCTTTGGCGTTTGAAGAGACGAAGTATAGCTTCATACGTTATATGCCAATTTCTAGTGTGAAATACTCATGCTTTTTGTGCCAGTATTACCCCCAATTTTTTTCCCAGTTATTTGCAAAAATTGTAAGAAATGTGATGACCGTGATGAAGGTAATGAACTATGCTAGATGCTAACTAGGGCTGTCACAATACGTTTATGCATTTGGCAGACACTTTTATCCAAAATGACTTTGCGTTGCATTGAAGGTATACATTTTTCAAACCCATGACTTTGGAGTTGCTAGTGCCATGTTCTGCTGTTTAAGCTACAGGAATGCAATACCAAAATTATTATTATTATTATTATTTTAGTGTTGATTTGGTAACAACTGGTACTTTTGACCTGTATTGCTGTATGGATTTGAGATTATTTGTTTTTGATATTGGATCAGTACCACTACTACCACACTACTGTTAGTTAATTTTTTTTTTATTAACACTTTTATTCAGCAAGGGTGCATTAAGTTAATCAAATGTGACAGTAAGTGACAGAGACAAAAAAAGGGACATTAAAAGTATCAATAAAGATTTCTATTTGAAAGAAATTCTGTTTTTTTTTTTAATCTTTCTGGGGAAAAAAATGTATTACTTAGTATTTGAAACAAGAAAAAACAAGGATCCACACACAAAAACATAGGCAAACGCTCATGTCGATTTATTCCATGGAGGCCACAAAAAAGTGCAAAAGTGTAAAACGTTTTGGTTTCAACCCTTCATCAGTGCTTTCATTTACTGATGATTTACGGACATTACTGTAATCCTACTTATATAAGAATACAAATATACAACAATACTATATTAATACAAAGGTATAGTATATGTTTATGTTTAAGTTATATGTTATATGTTCAAGTGCATATTTACAATCTGCTACCCTACATACTTATCATAAAACAATCCTATATAACCTTTTAAAGTAATTAAAAAAAATGTTAGCAATATAATTATTGTTTGTAATTTTCGGTCTAAAACATAGCATGCAAGTTAATTTATATATCCGTCCACAAAATTACTTCACAGAAAGCAATTCATAGAGAATTCCTTATTTTATTCCTTATAATTCCTTATATTATATTACAGTTCTATACTCATAATGCAAACCCATAAAATGCCAAGCAAATCCTTAAACCCGTTCTTGAAGTAAGAGTCAAGTTCAAACCCTTTTTGTTCCCCAACACCATTGAGATTCACTACTTTGATTCGCACTAAGTTTCGGAAGCATCTATGACCCGCTCACCTTTACTGGGAGCGCTCTGTTTCCCTGACTGAATTCCTTTGGAGAGAGCTTAAACTAACTTGCGCAAGAGGCAGAAAACACAACGCTATTCCCATGGCAACTCATTAATGCCACCTTATTGCAGTGAAACTAAAAAGACTATTTAAAGAGGAAAAAACAAGTACAACAACAAAAGTAATACCAACAAAAGCAGGAATGATGGGTTTGTGGGGCCTTTTTAGTACATCACTTGTGCCAAAAACTTTTGCTGAGAAGCTTTGGGAAGCTCAGTTTTATGGCTAGTGGTGCTATTGGAAATATCAGAGATGGAGAAAAAGTGATTGGTTGAACTGCTTTTTAGAACGAGTATCAGGACATCCCCTTGGTTTCCCCACTAGGTAATATAACAGCATGCCCTCTTCACCGGTACAGTGCCCTACCATAAGGCAGGCTTTGGCCGTTTCTTTTTCCTTGTGACCTATAACAAAACTGTTGCCCTTTTACACTGATTTTACACCAACTTTGGTATTTTTCTATGCTGCGCTTCCTGGATAAAGCTGGTTTGGCTCAGTTGGATGAATTCTCAACTGGCTTGTGATGCAAAAGACGGCAGCATCCACTAGCCCGTCTACATTTGAGCCCAACACTTGGTTACGGTAACATGGGCAGACACAGACAAATGTCAGCCCAACATTTACAGATGCATCATCATGCATGAACTATATAGTACCGTCTCAATTGCAAATGCACCCATGGCCTTTGCTTATGTAACGGTGTGCTCTAAACAGATTGTACGTTTGTGTGTCAGACTATTTTGAGCAGTACTAGCAGTTAAGGGAACATGTTTGAACCCATGCAGAGGTGACCCATTACAAAATAAAAACGCAACAAGTCTGTGTATACAGTACATACACACAGATTAGCAAAATTTTGGGGTTGGTAAGATCTTTTAAAACGTTTTTAAGAAAGAAATATCTTATTCTCACCAAGGCTGCATTTATTTAATTAAAAATACAGTAAAAACAGTAACATTTTGGAATAATATTACAGTTTAAAATTAAACAGTTTTCTATTTTAATATATTTAAAAATATAATTTATTATTATTATTAATTTATTATCATTTTATATTTCTGTCACTGCAAAGCTGAATTTTCAGCATCATTACTCCAGTCTTCAGTGTCACATGATCCTTCAGAAATCATTCAGATATGCTGATTTGCTGCTCAAGAAACATTTCTTATTACAGTATTATCAATGTTAAAAACAGTTATGCTGCTTAATATTTTTGTGGAAGCCGTGATACATTTATTTCAGGATCCTTGTCTGATAACTTAAAGGGGTCATATGATGCGATTTCAATTTTTCCTTTCTCTTTGGAGTGTTACAAAAAGAACAAAATTTATTTGAAATAGTAAAGGCATTTACAATGTTACAAAAGATTTCTGTCACTTTTGATTAATAAAAAGTATTAATAAAAGTCTTCATTTCTTTCAAAAAATATTTTTCACCCGAAAGTATTGAATGTTGAATTTTAAAGAAATTGTTTCATTTTGGTACTAAATTAGGTCCTGAAGCAAATGCAGTTTGTCCTTCTAAATTATTATGATATATGTCATTTTCAACTCTGGCTTTTTTTTAATTTTTATTGTATCACATATATATATGTATACAGAAAGAAGATATTCATTGTTAAATTAAATTAAACATTTTTTTTTCCACTTGCAAGGTAGCCGTTTTGCCTAACAGCTTGTTCACTGTTCACAGATTAGCCTGTTATCTTAGCATATGAGTAACCAATAGCCTTCAATCTTGGCCTTCTGCAAAATAATAAACCTGCTATGTTAGCATACTATTAACTTTTAAGCCTGCTAGCCTAGCATGTGTTCAAATTACTATAAAGGCACTATTCTTTAATACTGTTTGTTACTTATTTGTAGCTAAACTGCTACAAAAAGATAAACGCTACGGCTATTTTAATTATGTAGAAGAAATATATTTGTTGGTAAACAATCCTTATTCTGTTTGTGATGCATATATTTCAGGCTTCACCTTTAAGGTTTAACAGGTTATAACTCTAATGACTCTCTACTTGACTATCTCTCTGTCTCTCCAGCAGTGGATGTGAAGACCTTGCTACCTTCTGGGATGCAGAGCCCGGTGGGAGGTGGAGGAGATCAGGGCGGAGGTAGCGGAGGGCCGGTGGACCTGCGTACAGACCCGCGTCTGAGCACACTAAACACGGTGGACCCGGCGATGAGGGAAAAACAGCTACAACACGAGCTGCTCTTGCTGAAACAACAACAAGAGCTCCAGAAACAGCTGCTGTTTGCCGAGTTCCAGAAGCAGCACGAGGTTTTGACACGCCAACATGAAGTGCAGCTACAGGAACATCTTATGGTATGACTCTTTCTGTCCTCTCTGTATACATCATCTCCTTGAACTTTGATTCTTGACCTCTGAACTCTTCCTAAACAGCAACAGCAGGAGATCCTTGTCGCAAAGCGTCAGCAGGAGCTGGAGCAGAAGAGGAAGTTGGAACAGCAGCGTCACGAAGAGATGGAGAAGCAGAGACTGGAACAACAGCTCATCATGCTACGTAACAAAGAGAAGGGCAAAGAGAGTATGTATCTCTCCATTAATCCATCCATTATATACACTACAATAGATCTACACTGTTCACCTTTTAGTTCAATGAATCAACACCTTGCTGAGCAGTGCGTAGCTAATGTTTATTGTTGTTTGCTGGTATAATTACACACTGTCATGGATATCCCTTGAAGTACTTTAAGCACAGCAGGCACAAATTTCTCTATTATTTCTCATCTTTGGTTGTTAACACACACAAAAAACGACACAATACAGTACTAGGTATTATTGAACCACAAAATTAACATATTGGATTATTTCCAAAACCTAGTAAGCTTCCATACTGCCTACATAGTATCTCATAGTAACCTCATAAGTGCACACATAGGCAGCTATTATGTGCAGTATTCACATGACTCTTATTAATACCAATAGAGCTTTAATTAGCATGTTACTAAGCCAACAATCTGTCTGTAAGACATAAAGTATGCAAATGTACCTATAATAAAAAATACATAGCACACACAATTGTTTTTTTTATATACTTAATAATTAAAATAACTTTTTACTATGTATTTTTTGTATTGGATCAGTTATACAGTACAGTTCAAAAGTTTGGGGTCAGTGACTTTTTTTTTTTTGGAATGAACTTAATACTTTTGTTTAGCAAGGACACAATGAATTGATCAAAAGGGACAGTAAAGACATTTATAATGTTACAAAATATTTTGAAATATTTTGAACTTTTTAATCATGTCCTATTTATTCATATCACAATTTACACAAAAATATTAAGTAGCACAGAAAACATTTTCAACATTGAAATTGAAAATTTTGCTTTGATATCAAAGGAATAAATTGCATTTTTAAATATATTTAAATAGAAACATTTTATTTTTAGTTGTAGTAAATATGCATATATATATATGTATACATATATTATGAATATATATATATAATAATATATAATATATATAATAATTTTTATGTCAAAATCTTATTGTCATTCTCCTCCACTCAAACATGACTTTTGATGTCCTTTGACTCTGTTCTCAGGTGCTATCGCCAGTACTGAGGTCAAACTGAAGCTGCAGGAGTTCCTGTTGAGCAAAAAGGAACCTGGCCCTGGTGGACTAAACCATTCCTTCTCCCAGAAGTGCTGGTGAGCGAAACCTTGCTAGTCCATATCACTCAGCCTTATTCTGGGCTGGTAAACCCAATTCAAATGCACCTTTTTTTCAGGTTCAATGTGCACTATTTTTCTGCAGTATGATATAAAATGAGTTCGTCCATAACATGAGCATACTGATATTACGTCATGTTTATGGGTCTCATTTGTCCTCATTTGAATTGTGATGGATGAGTCTTTGTAATGGACTGTGCTTGTTTTTTTAGGGGGGCTCACCACGCGTCCCTGGAACAGAGCTCCCCTCCACAGAGCAACACACCGGGCACGCCACCCTCCTACAAACTCCCCACACTGTTAGGGTCCTATGAGGGCAAGGATGACTTCCCTCTCCGTAAGACCGGTGAGTAGGCTTCTTATTTATATGAAATTAACTGTGCTTTTTACTTCACAATTTTACATTAGTGTTCAAAATAGGGTTGTGCTGATAGACGATAGTCAGAGATATCGACGATAGCAAATGTCTAAGTCAATAGTCAAGACGATATGAGGCTCATTCTCCTATTAATGTTTTAAATTATTATTATTATTATTATTAGGCCCATTATAATTCGGCTATTATTATCAAATTGCACCGCACTTCACACACACCTGCAAATGAGGATTAAAGGCTGTAGCCGGTGAAGGAGTCTCCAACCACAAACACAGACGTACATCGTCTGCTGATATAAGGTATTTCGTTGCACTTTAACAAGTAATCTGAATGGCAATATGTGCAATATTTTAACCAAGCCCTCTCTAACTGAGTTTAACGCCACAGTTATGTTAGAACGCATCTCATCCTTGTTTCTGTGGTGGTGCGTCGGGCTCGTCATGGCGTACGGTCCTGAGCGCTGTATGACTGATGTATCCGTTTAATTTAACTTTACTCCAAATATATGAACTTACCCGTTTTAAATACTTTATATTTAACGTGTTTGTTTATGTCCAATATTTAGTAATAAACTGTTGGTCTTTAAAATGAATCTACTTTTTGATTTTCACCATTGGCTGATTTTGCAGACCTTTTAGATTGATAACTTCCGTGCGCCGATGCAGCAAACTTGTCAAAGGATGCGCGGTCCTATAATAGCGATGTATGACTGTTGTATCCGAATATATATGAACTAGCTGTTTTAAATATTTTTATATTTAACATGTTAGTTTATCAGTATGTTTGAAAGTATATTATTTTGATCATTGGTGCTTCCATAGGCTCTCTCTCGTGTGCGGTTTAAAACGCCAAATAGTTATGAAATAGCCTATGACAAGTAGGCTAAAGAGAGTCGCTCTCTTGCCACCCACCCATGCACGATAATATTGTGTATCGCGATCTCACGGGCTGGCGATATGACAATTTGAAAAATATCGCCGAACACTAGTTCAAAAGTTTGGAGTCAGTCCAAATTATTATTTTTTTTTAGTTCATACTTTTATTTAGCAAAGATGCATTAAATTGATCAATAGTGACAGTTAGGGCTGGGCGATAAATCGATAACGATAATTATCGCACGATATAGATTTCCTCGATAAACGATAACAAGAGTTAGATAAATGTTTGATATAATGCGGCAAAGGCAGAACGAAAGAGCGCTACTCATTTGAAGTGCCACTCGGAGCGTTTATCCGCTCGGATCAAAAGTTCAAACAGCGGCGCGAGCTTCACTAGAACAGATGTGTTCACTCGCTGATGAGTCTCGCGCACGCGACACTGAACAGGGCTGTGAGATCCAGTGTGAAGTGCTTGAATTCAGCGAGGAACACGCTGATGAAACAGCGCTGACAAACAGCAGAAACATTGTGCGCAACGATACAGTCAGAAGACTTTTTAATCTACAAATCGCATCATTTACCATGGATTTACTGTAGTAACACTGACTGCACCATGGTATTGTGTCAGAAATGTGGGTATTCGTGTTGAAATTTATTATATTATTAATGTAGACATGTATGAAATATATTGAAGGAGGAGTAATGGAATATAATTACAGTATTTTTTTTGTTATTAAACTATAGCGTTTATGCATTTATAAATGTATTTAGACTACTGTTTCTCATAAATACCTACAAGCCATATTACATTTTTACCATGGTATTGGGGTGCTATATTTGTGGTTTTAACTGTGATGGTCATGATCTAAATGTATGTTATGGAAGACCAATTGTTAAAACAACACCTTAAACAGTCAGAATAATTCAATTTCACCATATGAAAATGAGATTGCTACCATTTTTACAGATATTACTGATTTTGATAATGAACATAAATCTAAATCTTGACTTTAAAGACATTTATAATGTTGCACAAAATTTCTATTTCAAGTAAATGCTGTTCTTTTGAACTTTCCATTCATCAAACAATCCAGAAAAAAATGTGTCACAGTTTCCACAAAAATATTAAGCAGCACAACTCTTTTCATCATTGATAATAATAAGAAAAAGAATAATTGATAATATTAATAAATGTTTCTTGAGCAGCAAATCAGCATATCTGAATGATTTCTGAAGGATCATGTGACACTGAAGACTGGAGTAATGTTGCTGAAAATTCAGCTTTGCCATCAGAGGAATAAATTACATTTTAAAATATATTATAATTGAAAACCGTTATTTGGAATTGCAATGATATTCCACAATATTACTGTTTTTACTGTATTTTTGGTCAAATAAAGGTGATCTTCATGAGCATAAGAGACTTATTTCAAAAACAAGAAAACATCTTAACCTTCCCCTGAACATTTTAATGGTAGTGTACATTTAATGTTTGAAAGTCACTCATGGACTTACACTGTAAGAATGTAACTTCTATTGATGATCTCATACCAGCCCTCTCACTTCAGCCGTTGATGTCAGCTGGGTTGCCTTTTCTCCCATTCCTCTGGCTGTCTTCTCTTTTTCTGGATCATTTTACCAGTAGACACTCTCCTTTTACTGTTTTGCAAGCCCTTGTATTTCCTCCAGAAAAATGCAAATGTAGTTCTTTTTGTTATCTTTGTTGTCTTTATTTTGTTATCACCAGCGTTTTTTTTTTTGTGGAGAAGTTTGAGCTGTTTAACAGTGCAGAGGTGTCGCAGAAGATGCAAGGGTGTGTGTGTGTGTGTTTGTGTGTGTGTGTGTGTGTAGGGATGAAATGAGGAGTCTGCAGGTGTGAGTCATAATGAGTCATCAGAACAGCTGACCTACACACAAACACACACCTTAGAGCACAGTTATTTTAATACCATTGCAATACTGGTATAGTTTTCATTAATAATCAGTTTTTTTTGTTTTCATTTTAATTTTAAAATTGTCATTTTTATTTATATATATATATATATATATAATATTATTATTATTATTATTATTTTGGTACATCAAGTTAAACTAAATTAGAATGAGAAATGTTGGTGACTAGCTGAAAAATAAATTTTTAGATTTTTGTAACATTTGTTTTGTTTCAAGTAACGAGAATGTTTTTTAAATGGTTTTCATTTTTTAGTTAACCATAATAACCCTGCCTTAGAGGCTAAATTAGTGACAAAATGGTTTTCATACAAAAATAATTATATTTGTTATTCCACAATTTAACCCTCACACAGCCTGCTGACATTATTAGATTTGAAGCTAAACTCAATTTAGTCTGTTTCTGAGCAGGGCCGTCCTTAGGGGTGTGCAACTGGTGCGGCCGTACCGGGCCCCGCGCTTGAGGGGGCGCCGTGGCGAACGGACCGAGGGGGACATCAGTTTAATGTCGGGTTTTGTCATGTCACGCCCTATACAGTCTATGGTCGCGCCGCGGCGCATCTAGTGTAGACAGCGTCACTGATTATATTGGGACCGTTCTACTGTATTTTGCCGCTTGCGTGCAAATCCGGTGTAGACACGGTGTTTAATGTCGTTGGTGAGGAGGAAAGCCTGTGTGTGTGTCCTATGCCTTAGCGGACAGCATGAAACCCACAAAAAGTAAATAAATAACAGAGAGAATAATAATAATAAAAATCGCAATCGCAATATTGGTAAAAAAAAATCGCAATTAGATTATTTTCCGAAATCGTTCAGCCCTAACCTCAAACCTTGTCTCAAATCATTTTTGACATGTTTTCGACTATATTTATGAGATTTTTTTCAAAGTACTGCTGGTCATTTGCTGTTCAATTTCATAGCCGACAGCCAAACTCCAAAACTCCCACACAGATTCAATGAGTTTGTTTCCGCAAACACACACACACATCTGCTATCTACTTTTTACACACGGCTATCTTTTAAACTGTCACACCCACGTTGCTTTATAAAGCTCTCTATAATAGAACTGACACACATATACCATCCAGAGGATAGGAGGACATTTGCGCGCACACACACCCACACACAAGTCCAAGTGAGCTTGGACTTCAGCTCACTGATAAAGTAATCGCAGACGGGTCTGTTACCGTGGGAAAAGCGCTTACTCTATATTACCACTGTTATGTCAACACCACAGCAATCTCCTTACATAACGTGCCCTCAGTTAGTGTGTGTCTTTCCATCCCGTCTCCTCCCCCTCGTCTCACACTTTTATTTTAAATCTAATTAAATCCATACTAAAGACACTGATGGCATTAGAGGCTAAAGTCCTTTCTGCTCTATATGCCCAGTGTGGCTGTGACGCACAAACGGGCCCAGAAAAACACACAGGGCTCAGTCAAGCCGCTTTACACACGGCATGTTTGGATAATTGCCCCAATTTCTTTCTTTTTTTCCCTCTTTCAAATCCCTTTTTACTTCAATTAGTTTAATTTGGCCCGGCATCTCCGGAGTTAACAAAAGATAAAATCGGCACGCTGTAAATATAACTTTTATCTATATCTCAGTGAGTGTGTGAGAGAAAGAGAGAAACGGGAAGGGATTGGCGGTTGCTGTCCATGGTCCTGATGCACAACAGTGACAGATGCAAACACTCATTTGTGGTGCTTATTAAGTGAAACATCACTATTATAATTGCTCATACTTAGGGTTGAGGATTTTGAACAAGCCCCTGAGCATAAGTAGTAAACTTTGCAACTCACACCGCATAAGTGACCCCTCAAATCATGCAGGGTTTGCTTTTACTTTTCTAAGTGGTTGAATTTTTTTTCTTTCTCTCTTCTGTTCAGCCTCTGAGCCCAATCTGAAGGTACGTTCACGGTTAAAACAGAAGGTGGCTGAGAGGAGGAGCAGCCCACTTCTTAGACGAAAAGATGGTACTGTGATCAGCACCTTCAAGAAAAGGGCGATTGAGATCTCAGGTAAACCATATGTGAGAATGCAGGACTGTTTGCATAACCTCATGAGTTATGGAAAAGGAAGGCATTAAAACAGGTTTGAACCAAGAACTACACTTTCTGGCAAGAGGTTTTCAAACTTTTTTATGCTAAGGACTCTCCAGGTATGATGATCTATCTTTGACAGATCCCTTGTAAAGTATAAAGGCATCTAAATATATTTTCATGAAAAAAATATATTTTGAAAATATATTTACATAAAATAATTTGTGTACTAGGACACTATAATAATGCACAAAAAGGATTCTGTAAATTTGGCATTATTGTGTAATTTTAACTTATTTACCTTTGTTTCATTATTTTTATTAATGTATGTTTTATTAATGTAAGAAAACTTTATTAAAATTTATATAAATTCAATAAAATAAACGAAAAGTTTTGGCATAGTTGTGCATTCAGCTTCACAAACATAGAGTTTATATGGAAGGTGTAATCCTGAGGTTATATCAGCACCTGAGTTGTGTTCAAATTGGCCTGTGAAAGAGGAAAAAAAACTGCCGTCAGATGTGTGAAGATTTGCAAACAGAAATAATGAACACACAGGAATTGTGTGATTTCTATGCTGTTAATATAAATGCAGCTTGGAGGAAGGGAACAGTTTAACATCCTGCTGATACATTAAAACTGGTTCAATCAATCACAAAATATTGTGAAATCATCAGCTACATTTTCTAACGATGCAGCTAAAATGTGATTGTTGAAATGTGTGTATGTTTCAGTGTCCTCTATGTGCAGCAGTGCTCCTGGCTCGGGTCCCAGTTCTCCGAACAGCTCTAACTGTGCCATTGCCGAGAATGGCTCCAGCGGATCCGTTCCAAACATCCACGCTGAGGTGAGAGACTTACCCCCTACATGTTTGCTTCTCTTCTGCTCTCGGACTCCCCTCGGTTCTCAATAGGTTGGTGATAAAAAAAGACGCAATAAATTGGCTTCACCTAGATAATGACACTGTTTCTATGGAAACAATCTATTGTATGGAGACTTGTGATGGCCTGGGATAACACTGGTATGCTAATCCCAAAAAAAAAAAAAAAAACCCGTTCCGAGAGTCAGCCTTGCAGTGAGTTATATCTGTAGGCACAAGAATGGCCACAGCTGCTCTGAATGGACAGCATGAAGCTGCCTGGGGTCAACCCTGCATGCTAAGCAGCTAGCCTTGAGGATCACCTTAACCTTGAGAGCCAGAGAGAGTGAAATTGCGTGTGCTCATTTCACAAAGGGCTTGAAGCTGTAGGAGAGGAACATGAATATGAATGAGCCAGTTTGTATTTAATTTTGGATGACCAGCATATTAAATGCAAAACTTTGCAAAAAATATTTCAAACAAATAATGCCATTTACAATGCTTACATGTAGTTTGTGATTTTGTCATTTATGTATTTATGCTATATTGTAATGCACAAACATCAGACTTATTTTTATTTGTTGCAAATAGTATCTTTTGAGAAAGAGAAAATCATTTTTATATATTTATTTATATTATTTGATTTAAAAAATAGGTAATACCATATGTGACCCTGTCTGTGAAATCCAGGCTAAAGTCTCAAAGTCTAATTATGAGATAACAAGCATCAAAGTTTGATTTCAACCATTAATTTCACTATGATTTCAATCTTTGACATGGCCTTACTAAGTCAATATTAAAGATATAAAGGTTATATTTTCACAGAATGTTCTACATCTTTATGAAGGATGATTTTATGTAGAAAACAGCAAATCACAAAAAAATGCCAGGGTCGTTCTCTCTCCCACACACACACACACACATATATATGTATATAAGTATATTGGAGTATTACAGAAATATCAGTAACATTGTATATATTGAATACTATCACTGTAAACTGGTATTGCTGAAATACTTTTTATTTTTGCATGTGTTTTGAGGCCTTTATTAAATCACAAAAAAATGACTTTAGCTGGGTTTTCACATATGTTAATTTCTAATATAAAAATGTACATATAATATTAATATTCTAAAATGTATATTAATATTTTTGTATATTTTTATTTTTAATAATATTAATAGTAATATCTATGCATGTTTTTCATTTGCCAATGAATATTGTGTTATCTTTACCATGTATACAGTTACTCATTGTGTGATGTACACTTTTGGTCGTGCCATCCTTACACACAGTCCGTGTTTAAATATGCGGTATTTTGCTTGTTTGCCGGAGAAGTTTGCTTACATTGACTTTTTTTCTGAAACAGTTCTGCTAGTAGTACATAATGTGTCGAGTCTTGACTATGCGCTCTGTTTTCTTAAGGGTAGAAAACATTTTTTCAGCATCCCTTTGTATAGTATCTTTTAATATGTTACGTTATTGCCAGTGGATGTGATAGAGGATGAAGTGTGCTGGAGTTTGTCAAAGAGAAAAGAAATAAAGTTTGTCAGTCTCATCAACCAGAGAAAAAAAATCCCTTCAAATAGGCGCCAGTGGAGATGACTGAAGAATCACCTCATTAGCTCTGTCCAGCATGCAACGTCTGCGTACCACTCCCCAAAAATAGTCTTAGATCGCTATTCCAGAGCCTGTGTAGCCTAGCAGTACAGCCTCGAGAGAAGTGATGGATAAATGCGAAGGAGAATAGAATGCTGACATCATCTCTGCTGCAGGTAGTGCGCTCTGCCACGGAATGTCCGCTTTGTCTTTTACTTCCTCATCTTTTCTTAGTGTAACCTTTGAGTCAGAGTGAGAATGACGTACATTGTACGAACAACTTCTAATGAAAGGCTTAAATTGGGACTTTGGGGATGAATAAATGTTGCCTTGTAAAGCAGATCCATTAGTTTTTGTTCTTTGGCTTTGAAAATGGCTGCACTCCAAGTATAGGGTCAGATGATGGGATTACCAGCACTCAGAAACACCTCCATATTTCTCACATAGCTCTCTTTTTTTACTCTTTAAAAAATTAGAAATTGGGTCAATGCAAAACCCATTTTACCTATCCTTATAACTGCTTAGCTCATTTCTTTAACGTGGCAACTGAAACTGTTGTCTTCTTCAAGTGGCGCTCATCCAATCCCAAATACAGACAATCCATTCCCACATGCTGCTTTCCCCGTCACAAATACAACTTAGTAAGGATTTCCAAAGAAGAATACTTTCAAGTGATCAAGTCAAGCCGAAACTCCTTGTCTGGGATGCCTTGCTGAGATAAAACGGATTCTTTGTGCTTTTTGAAGTGTACATCCTGAAAGATAGGTCTGTTGCTTGTCCTGTGGGACTCACGTTTTTCTCTCCTTTTCTGTTTCGGCAGCAGTTGCGTTCTCTGCATCAGTCTTTGACTGGAGATGGGACACCGAGTCCCCTTAGCCTCTACACCTCTCCATCTCTGCCCAACATCTCTCTTGGACTGCCTGCCAACGCGCACATCACGGTGAGTGTCCTCAGCTAAAGCCCGGTGGCTTTGTGATAGTGATTCAGAGTTAGCAAGTGGTGTAGGCTGAACCCTAGTGGGCTGGCTAGATCATTATGATGCTTTCACACTAGAGCTTTTGGTCTGATTGATGTGAAAGTGTTTTTCAGAAGATGCACACCATTGATCCGCACCCTAGTCCAGTCTTGGGTATGGTTCATGTGAACGTGTTTAGTGCTCCATAATGTTTATATCGCCTCGTTTTGGATACAAATAAAACGTCAGGTCATGCATAGACTATCTTGTCTCTTTGAATTTAAATCTAGATTTATTCACACTTGCCCTTGAAAACCTCTGTACACACACTTGCCCAAGAAAAAGTGCGGGGGAAATGAGATCGGCCAAGTGTAGTGAGTACCGATCGAGTCATAAATTCGAGTCACACATTCACTTTGAACACAGTAACCTGTTACTGTCAGTTATTCTGTAAATGTAAAAAAACAAAAGTGAATTTACGTTTTATCAAATGTGGGGGGACACGTCCCCTGCATATTCTACGCCCATGCCTGGTATAAAACAAGCTCTCACAGTGGTGCTCTCATTGATGGAGCGAACATACTGCAATTTCGGACCCAAAAGTACAATGTGAAAGGAGAGCACCTGGGGCATTAGAAGGGGATGGAATCAAACTGGTTCTGGTTTAGACCAAGCAATCAAACCAAGTGTGAAAACAGGCTTGTAGGCTTTGGTACCTTGGTTGCAGCTTTAAGCAGCTCAGTGTTCCCAAGTCTGAAGAATAAATTCTCATTCTCTTCTCCTCTACTCTAGGCTCCTCAGAAACTCAGTGCCCAGCAGGAGGCAGAGCGGCAGGCAATCCAGAGTTTGCGTCAAGGTGGGGCACTGACAGGGAAGTTCATCAGCACATCGTCCCTGCCAACGTGCCTTCCCACCGGGGCACCCCATGACCCCGAGCCCCCTTCCGCCTCTAATAGCCACAGTAGCCATTCCTCGCTGCTCCAGCACGTCCTACTGTTGGAGCAGGCTCGTCAACAGAGCGCACTTCTCGCAGGTACACATAAATCATAGTATACAGTCATGCTATCCTGAATACACCGCAAAAAGCTATAAATGTAAATGTGTCATACAATGTGTCAGTGCCTTAAGACAAGAAACATACTTTACATAGTATGCAGATGCAAATGCACTCTTGTGTTGCTCTGACCATAACAAGTATCAGTTCTCAAGGGTTGATTTAAGCCAGATGCATTATTCAGGTAACTAGCTATTTAGCGATGTATATTTTGACAATTTCACTGATTTTCTCTGATTTGCTCTGCAAGATTCTCTTCAAACTGTTGCTCCATCATGAGTTGCCAGTAGTTGACATAAAAGAGAAAACTGAGACAATTTATGCTAATGTCCACCTTGGGAAAAAACAACATTTGAAATTAAACTTTCGTAGCTAGAACAGTAACAAGTAATTGCACTGAGAACGTTTCAGGTCTTATAGGTCAGGACTGCAATGTGCGAACAAGAAATGTCAAAAGTCACGGTACTACGATACCAAGTTGACAAGAAAATGAATGTTAAAAACAGTGAACATTATCAGCTTGATGTGTAGGTGTAACAGCTTACACTTTTTGTCTTGATCTTTATCACGCAGTTCCCATGTACGGGCAATCTCCGCTGGTAACGGGTGAGCGGGTGTCCAGCAACATGCGTACAGTGAATAAATTGCCTAGGCACCGGCCGCTGAGCCGTACACAATCAGCACCCCTGCCTCAAACACCACAGGCCCTGCAGCACCTCGTAATGCAACAGCAACACCAACACTTCCTCGAGAAACAGAAACACTACCAGCTAAATAAGGTATATTGTGCTAGCATGAGATATTTGATGCTGTTTGAGCTATTTAGTAAAAAATTGCTAATGAGCTCCACCTCCTTTCAGATCCTTTCAAAAGGGGCGGAGCTTCCACGGCAGCCTCCCACGCACCCTGAGGAGACGGAGGAGGAGCTTACGGAAACCGCAGAGATGCAGGACGAGCGAGGGGAGGGGCTTGATCATGTAAGGGAGGGGCTACAGAAAGAGAGCTCTGGTGAGACCACACCCACTTCCGAACGTCTGGTTCAGTTGAAGGGAGAAAGCACAGAAAGTGACTTGGAGGAAGATGATGATGATGATGATGATGAAGCCATTGAACTGAGGGAATGTGATGAAGAGGGCGCCCCCTATGGCCAGGTGAGAAATTACAGCTTGTTGTCTTCTTTAAATGGAAGGTTTTGGTCATTTCTGTGCCATTAGTATAGGGCTGCAACTAACGATTATTTTGATAATCGATTAGTTGGCCGATTTTTAATTTTTTTTTATTATTATTAATCGATTAATCGGCCTCTTTTTTTTTTTTGACAAAACACACTATTCCACATCCTGTCCAATGTTGTCCTTCAAACAAATGTGCCAACTGCATGCTATGAAAACGTATTGTATGGTGAATATTAGGGATGCTCCGATCAGGATTTTTGCAGCCGATACTGAGTACCGATTTCTTGTCATTGTGATCGGCCGATACCGGTGCTGATTCTGATGCTTCAAGCTTTATATAGACTGTTTCATCGGGCGCACGCACCTGGCCCGAAGTTAACTTCCGGTCTGTGTTTGTTTATCAGTCTGGCTATGGCACCGGCTACAAACGCAATTAAAGTTAAGGTGATGAGTAGACTGAAGTTGGGCTCAGGTGGTTGTGCTGTGGGATGTGTTTCACATACATTTATTTATTTGTGGCGTTCGCCACAATATCAAAACTGACCGATTTTCCAAAAGGCTTCGTTGAATAAACATGAGCACGTAGGCCTACTGCACCTTTAAATATCAAAACGAGGCGCGGGTGTTTTTATATCACTGTATTTCTGAAGGAAGACTATCTTTAGAAAATTTTCAATGTCATTTTCATT